TCAGTGTTTCACAGCAAAGAATAATTGAGCTAACAGTTGACATATGGAGTTGTGTGGGCAAACTAATTAAATTTTACATCTTCCCAAGCATTTGTGAATTTTAGAAGCGGTTGATCTATGTATTAATTAAACCTCAGAGCAAAAGGAAGAGGATGTAACTATTTATACCATGAATGTGTCTCACAATAGGAAGTGCTTCACTTGTATTTAGAATCACACACAAAAGTAACATCATGGAATCCTGGGGGTCAAGCCCGCCTCTGCAGCGGAAGCACCCAGCTGGGGATGCATCCAGGACAACTCATCGCAGGCCAGGATCTTTCTCCTGCAGCTGGTGACCTGTGCTGAATGTGGTGGTTAGGGCTCTTCACAGCAGGGGCAGTGTGCATATGTGCTTACGGAGTGCAGCTCGTGGCATGGTAGGTGTAATTATATGCTCAGTATCATGTGACTAATATGGAAATGATTATGTTAAGCCTGTGAGTTCGTTCAGTATGAATCAAACATTTCCAGAAGCCTGCGTGGGCTCAGCCTGAACCTGGGGTGCTCCTGCTGTTAAAACAAAACAACACTGTTTCTTCTCACCAACCCCCCAGAGTCCTGAATGCACGACACCCACTCACTAGGGCAGCCCCTTTTTAGGTAACCATGTAATCTTTTGCTGCATGGCGCATGTCTTGCTGTATTAGGTGGTTGTAGCACACAGCACACTTGTATGTGTCACTGCAGCATTCTGTCCATTTCCCCTGCATTATGTGCAAAAGTTGCTTGCATGTCAAAGCCTATTTTCCTGCACCCTTATGCGTTAGTGCCTACCAGGACAGGTTATGTTAAAGTCATTTTTAAAATAGAGTGATTACTGGGGTGAGAACCAGGAACATCAGAGTTCTTATCCAAGCTCTGCCACTGACTAGCTGTGCCCTCGAGCAAGTCACTTACCTGCTTTGTCCCACTTTCATCACCTGTAAAATGGGGCTAATAGGGCTTACTTAAGTAGCTCACAGGAGCGTTGTGAGGCTCAGCTGGTTAATGTTGCTCCCGTGCTTTGAACACGAAAGGTGCTACATGAGAGCTGAACATTATTATTGCATTGATTAGTGCACTGTATGTAGCTAATGCAGCTTCTAATAGGCAATTTAAATATTTATCCAACCCCTTAGTGAGGGATTAGAAGCAGTTTCTGGTTGTCCAGGGGTGACCTGGCTGTGAGAAATTGGGAAGCCTTCTACAACTGTCCTATTAGTGTGATTTCATCACTATAGGGACCTTCTATTGTGTCTGTTTAACAGCTGAATGGAAGAGCATGCGGAATGTTGGTGATTAGAAAAATTATTTTCTGCCTGACTGCTGTTCTGACAGAGAATTTCCTCAGATTATGGCAGTGGTGCCCAAACTTTTTACCTCACACCCCCCTCACCCCTGTCTGTGCCTCCCATGTGCCCCCCAGAGCCAGGGCCAGGAGTGGGGCCATGGCTTCGGGGGATGGACGGACAGACACCTGGACAGGTAAGGGGGTTTGAGGCTGGGACCATAGCCAGGGGCCTTGGCTGGCAGCTGCGGCTGGAAGTGGATCCCAGGGCTCAGGGCTGGAAGCCATGGCCAGAAGCAGATGACAGGGGGCGGGGCCAGAAGCAGAGCTAGGTGGGGCTCCCTCCCTGCCCCCTGCAGGGGCTGGCCCAGGCCCCAGCCATGCCCCCTGCATGATCTTCCATGCCCCACAGATTGGGGACCTCTGGATTATGGACTCTGTTCTACTCACTGGGAGTTGTGCATGGGGATCTCTGACTTGGCGCTCTAGCTGTCCCAATGCAAGTGTGGCCATTGGGGTATGCAAAGCCTAGGAGGCCCACAGCAGACTGGCCTGGTCAGCCTGAAGAGCTAAGGAGGGGTGAGAATGCCTTGCAGCGCCTCAGCTAGAGTCGCAGGCCTGCTGAGATCTGGTCCTCCCTTGCAGTCAGTGGGAGGACTGGAGCTAGTATGGCCCTAGGCCGGCAGTAATAGCACTGCACATCTCCTGGAGGAGGTAAGTAGACAGGACTCAGGCTTCTAATAAATATGCCTTTAAAAAAATAGTCAAGCACAAACTAACCTGTGACTGGGGCAGTGGGATGGGGGCTCTTCCACCAAGGCTGGTGGAGAGGGACAATTGTTGGGAGTAGGACCTCGTGCTCCCAGTTGCTGGAGATGGTTGTAGTGGAAGTCCCTACCTCTGTGGGTCTCAGGGAGGCTAGTTACATGCACAGGTCTTAGAAAACATGTCTCCTCTCCTATGTAGATGAACATTCACCTTGATTAAGTGCTGGCTCCAGGGTTCTCTGCAAGAAGCTGGAGGTTGCTGCTGGGTGCAGGGGCATGACCGTTCTGAGGGTTGTGGGTGCCAGATGCAGATGAGCAGTGCTGGTGGGGGAGAGCAGGGCCTGGGGGATCAGACTGTTCTCTTTCTAATCACTGCTGCAGGACCAGCACTCACTGCTACTGAAAGTATTTGTACTGGTTGGCCAGCAGTGTCCCTTGTGTGGGCAAGTCACAAAACACTGAATGTTGCTGCATGGATGCCTCCTGATGTGTGGCACTGCTCGTCCCCAATAGTTTATTTCCAGCATTAATTACGGTTAGGGCCCTACCAAATTCACAGCCATGAAAAACATGTCATGGACCGTGAAATCTATTTTTCCCCCATGAAATCTGGTCTTGTGTGTTTTTATACTATACAGATTTCACAGAGGAAACTGGCATTTAAAAAATTGGGGGTCCTGACCCAGAAGGGAGTTGCGGGGGGGGGGTCACAAAGTTATTTTAAGGGGGGGATCGTGGTATTGCCACCCTGACTTCTGCACCGCCTTCAGAGCTGGGCGGCCAGAGAGCGGCGGCTGCTGGCCAGGTGCCCAGCTCTGAAGGCAGCACCGCTGCCAGCAGCAGTGCAGAAATAAGGGTGGCCTGGTATGTTGTTGCTACTCTTACTTCTGTGCTGCTGCTTTCAGAGCTGGTTGGCCGGAGAGCGGTGGCTGCTGACCGAGGACCCAGCTCTGCAGACAGCAGTGCAGAAGGAAGGGTGGCGATACTGTACCGTGTCAACCTTCCTTCTGTGGTGCTGCCTTCTGAGCTGGGCTCCTGGCCAGCAGCCACTGCTCTCCAGCTTCCCAGCGCTGAAGGCTGTGCTGTCAGCAGCAGCGCAGAAGTAAGGGTAGCAGTACCGCAACTCCCCCCACAATAATCTTGCCTCCCCCACCCCTGACTCCTTTTTGGGTCAAGACCCCTACAATTACAACACTGACATTTCAGCTTTAAATAGCTGAAATCATGAAATTTATGATTTTAAAAATCCTGACCATGAAATGGACCAAAATGGACCGTGAATTTGGCAGGGCCCTGATTATGGTTATGCAACTTCCATAGTTTCACAAAATATGAAGAAATATTAGTATTTGCTATTCTGCTGTGATTCCTTCTCCCAGCAGAGTCTGAGGGGGTCAGTTAGGTCCCACATCACTCACATATTCTGTGTCCATGGTCAAGCTCCAGCAGCCTGATGAAGTTAAAACATGAAATTATTGATTTTCTAAATCCAGTCTTCTCCTCTTAACATCACTGGGCCTTTTGTAGCATCTCTTGGATGAGGAAACAGCAACCGCTTATGATGTCAGATTAAGAAAGCTTATTAGACTCTGCTAGGAGGTGGGATTGCAGCTGATGCACAAATATTAATATTTCCTTAAATTTAGTGAAACTATTCATAATCTATACATAGTTAATATTCAAACCAACAAAACTACTACAAATTAATGTAACAAAACACTTGAAAAGTCAGGTCATTCTGAGTACCATCTTGGTTTGTCTCCTCCTCCCGCCCAGCACCTCCTTCTCTCCCACAAAGCTGAGCAAGATTTTAGTGGCCAATGTCTTGACAAACTCCTAGAATTCCCTTTGAGAGATGGGGTGACAAGCTTTATGGTGATATACAAAGTTAGTTATCAGTTTTGGAGATAGTAGGTGCTAAAATCAGGTTGGAATTGAAGTGGGAGGGAAAAAACAAGATGGTATTCAGAATGATGTGATTTTAAGGTCCATAACTTGCAAATGAAGAGGGCTAGAAAAGTGACTATAACATGGGGAAGCTGGAATTTCTGGCTTTTCCATATTGTCTGGCAATAGTTTCTAAACCTAGTAATTCTTAATATTTCATACGTTGAATTGGTCACTGAACCTTCACTCAGACCAGGAAGAAATGCAGACCACTTACCAGAGAGACCAGGATGCTTCCAGCATCCCAAATATCCCAAGGCAATTCCACCTGTGCAGTGCCTGCACCCAAACAGCTGTTTACCCAGAAGAAACTCTCATCCACGTAGAAACAGTGGTTCTCAAACTTTTGTATTGGTGACCCCTTTCACAATGCAAGCCCCTGAGTGTGACCCTCCCCCTAAATTAAAAACACTTTTTAAATATTTAGCACTATTTATAAATGCTGGAGATGAAGCAGGGTATGGGGTGGAGTCTGACAGCTCACCACCCCCAACCTAATAACCTTGTGACCCCTGGAGGGGTCGTGACCTCCAGTTTGAGAGCCCATGTCATAGACCAATGTCTGTAAAAGCTTGTTCAGTTCCATAGTCCCAGTGGCGTGTTCATATGAATGTTTCTTAAATTCATTCATTGTGAGAAAGATACTTTCACTTTGAAAGTAATTTAACATAATCAATAGGACTTCTCAGACACTTAAAATTACACCCAGGCTTAAGTACCTGGAGAGAGTGCGTGTGTGTGTGTGTGTGTGGGGGGGGGGTGGTGTGTGGCTGAGTTGACCCATCAGAAACTAGGGGTTCATATTAGAAAGGCTAACAAAACTCATTGCTGTGTGCTGGGGAGTGGTGCAGCACTCAGGGAATTAACGATCCCATCACTATCTTGAAAACCTTGGAATAAATGCCAACTCACTAAAGATAAGGTTACAATCAAGTAAAACAAAACCACATCAATACCAGATACAGTGGAACCTCAGAGTTACGAACACCAGAGTTATGAAGTGACTGATCAGCCACACACCTAATTTGGAACTGGAAGTGTGCAATCAGGCAGCAGCAGAGGGGAGAGAGAGAGGAAAAAACCCACAAAACCCAAAAGGCAAATATAGTACCGTGTTAAACATACACTACTAAAAAAAAGGAAAAGCTTAAAAAAAGATTTGACAAGGTAAGGAAATGTTCTGTGCTTGTTTAATTTAATTAAGATGGTTAAAAGCAGCATTTTTCTTCTGCATGGTAAAGTTTCAAAAGCTGTTTTAAGTCAATGTTCAGTTGTAAGCTTCTGAAACAACCACCATAACTTTTTGTTCAGAGTTACAAACAACCTCCATTCCTGAAGGGTTTGTAACTCAGGTTCTACTGTACATGGTCCCAAGAAAAATTAGAAAACAGTTCTATTTTCCCCCAATTCAACCTGGAATCTAACTATGACTACAATAGAGGACAAACTGCAATTCTTTACATTGTATTGCATTTTAGTTACAATGTATCATCAGTTTGTGCATTTTCCATGTACAAATCAATGTAGCTAATACAATGCCCAGCATCTTATGCTAGATGGCTCTTGCTGTTTGGCTGACAGTGCAAATACATTTCTAAATGTAAATGTATCCAATACAATGAATTTTAATATAATGTAATAATGGGACCTGCAGGTCTCCTTGGTGCATGTTATTAGAATGCAGCATTAGAATACAGTGCCTTAAAAATAGCAATACAGCGTGCTCTGCAGAAGCATATGGAACGGATCACCTTGAAATGGATCTAATTTAATGCTATTGGCATATCAGAAATTGTCCTAACAGCTCTGAAGTCGAGGGGCAGTTCTGCTTAAAACCAATGGCATGATAGGGACCCATGCTGAACACAGAATTAAATATATAAAGCAGTGCAAATTCTATAGTGCCTTGAACAAAACTGACCACTTCAACCTGAGCTGCATCAATGGTTTGGATGGGTATATGCAAGGCTACTCCTTGATCGTAGCCTGCTTACTTACCACTGGCTGTACCCAAGATGGCCATGTGACCGGATGAGCTGGGTGTTCTGCAGGAAAGTGAAGTGGGTTAGTACTAACAGACCAGACCAAGGGGATGCTTCTGTCTTTTATTTCCCCTATCTCTGGATGTCATTGCTCCAATCTCCCAGCATTCCTTCAGCAATGCTTCGCTGATTTAAGAGAAATTACAAAACAGGCATTGGGAACTGGAAAACTTACACCATTCTGCTACAGTTAAACTGAAATGAAAAGTACTAAACTTACTAAAGAGTAAATTTCCCTGCAGCCAACTGAATGTAAGTGATAAAAGACCAGAGTGAAGAATATGTTTCCTGGATGCTTATCAGATTTTGGGGGGGGGGGTGTATCATGACCTCATTTGACCTCTTAGATTTGTTTTCTGTCCAGATTTTGATGGAGTTGTCAGACACCATTTATCCAGATGTCTACTGTGCAATTTTAAAGATGGCACTGGCTTCCCCTACACCCCCGCTGTGTCTTCAAATTTTCCATATATTTTTGTGCTTTATAAATGTGTCTTTCAGCCTAGATCATATATAGAGTTCATCTTGCTATTGATATGTTGGATAGCCCTGGCAGTCTTCAGGAAATTTATGATCTTGTCCTGGTGTATTTGACAGATAACACTCGAAATACAAATGTCAAAACATATTTAGATTTTTTTCCCTTTTCCTAACTAGCCCTGAAGAAAATACAAACCCTTCTTGACAGAATCAGTTCAGTAGTCTCCTCTAGGTCATGCCGTAAGTGTTTGGAAGAATCTGCCTCTTAGAGCCATATAGATCCATCATGGCTATATTAAAAAAGGGCTCTCTAGCCTGAGGCAGAATTATTTAAGAAAATCCTGACAAGGTTAGACACCACTGTATATTGGGGGAAAAGGAAATACACTCTTAAAGCATAAAAGAAATTGGCAATATTTTAATTAATTTATATTACATTCTTGGATTGCAACACAGGATGGGGGGAAGCCAGTTACTTTGATTTTTCTGAGTTAGTCTAGTCTGTTCATTTACACTTATGTTTATTCACTGCAGCGTGAAAATGCTGTCAGAGCTAATATTTATAGCTGCTCTCTAAACGGGAATGTCAGTGTGGGGTATATTTAGGCCCTTGATCAATGAAGTACACAAGCGTAAGCTTACTCTAACCCTAGGGCTTGATGCTGAAAAGACTTACACACATGCTTAAATTTAAGCATGTGAATAATCCCATTGCCTTGAACTATCATTATTATTGTTTTGGGTTAGGCTCAACTTCCTTTGAACTGGTGAGTGTATCAACTACCCTTTATTACAGATAAATATAATACACAATTAAGCTCCTATAAGGGACCAGATAGCTGAAACAGCAGCAACCTCCACTCAAATATAGCCACGTGTCACTCTGCAAACCAAAGGCCCAAACAAAACTTTTGTCTGCAGAGAGGTTTGGCTGGCTATTGTTTGAGCAGAAGTGTACATGTGAGAGAAACATCACAGAAAAGGGGCAGAAAGCCAAGGACACAGCCAGAACATGGCTGAGAGAGAGAGAGAGAGAGCGAGAGCACGCGCGCTAGCTTGCTTTTTGGGCAAAGTACTGGCTAAAGGAGGCTTGGAACTGTGAGTAAAGAATCATAGAATATCAGAGTTGGAAGGGACCTCAGGAGGTCATCTAGTCCCACCCCCTGCTCAAAGCAGGACCAACACCAACTAAATCATCCCAGCCAGGGCTTTGTCAAGCCTGACCTTAAAAACTTCTAAGGAAGGAGATTCCACCACCTCCCTAGGTAATGCATTCCAGTATTTCACCACCCTCCTAGTGGAAAAAAAACCTATCTCCTGTTTGATTTCTGCTGTATTCAGGGAAATGTGGTCTTATAAATAAACAGGATTGCATCAAAGAAATGCCTGACTCCAACATCAGTTTCTCCTCCTAACTGAAACAACCTGCAGGACCCCAAATTTCCATTAACCTGTTGGTCACAAAGGGGTAACATTTATTACACATAGTGCAATATCATCTATGGACTCAGTCATAGAGCGGGACCCCACTGTGACTGATCCTGTAAACACGCAGAGCAAAAACACAGTCCCTGCCCCAAGTATCTTACACTTTGAGTATAAATGAAGGAGACTAAAATTAAGCATGTGCGTAAATGTCTATGTGGTTATCGGGTTATTCTGCAATGCACTTAAGCATGACCTTAGCTTTATTAAATCAATAGGATTTCACCATGTGCTTAAATGTTTTGCTTACTCAGGGCCCTAGTCAGGGATGTAACAGAGATATAGGATCTATATGCAATTGCAAATCATTTTAATAAATGGGAATGTTAAGTGTTAATATCATAGAGTGGATGTTTAAATATTTTTGAAAGAGAAATAGTGTGTTTGTCTCTATTAAATGCCAATATTATATTTATCAGAAGTCTACATCATTTAGCCTTTAACAAATATCAAGTATGAAGGGCCAAAGCTGCCTTCCTTGAATACTCTAACTTCCCATTGACTTCAGTGGGTGTTCTGGGAACACTGGGATTGTAGGATTGGATTCAAAGAGTGTGATTAAGGTAGAAGAGGCATCAGATTTCACATCAAAGCAGATCCAATAGCTCTAGGGAAAACATACCTGTGATTAACCAGTACAGCCACAATATGTCACCAGTACTCCACACAAGCTATATCGCAAATGCAGAGTGAATAAAATCTTTGTGCTGGTGAAGGAAGAAAACATCATGCAGACAGGAGATAAGAAAGAAAGGCTTGATGAGTGGAGGATAGAAACGGAGGAAGAAATTCCTGCTAAACCAAGGGTGTAGACATTATACCCAGATAGTGACACAAAGGAATCAAGTTTAATGAGGTCCCTGCTAAGGGAATTAGTAGCTGAAGACACTGGTCTCTATCAAGCAGTTTTAGCAAGAGTAACGAGGGAATGGTGCAAAGGCAGGGCCAGTCACTTGGAAATGCAGGTGGACATTGTTGGTTGGACTTGGCTAAAAATATTACCCTGGTTTGAAGAGGTGGATGCAGTCTCCAGGCAAGTGCAGATAGATAATTGTATCAGTTGGGACTGAAAATCATGCATTAATGCGCCCCCACATTAGGGATCCTTCTGCAGCACACTGCTTCTTGTGATTTCTTCTTAACAGCATGGTGGGTGATTCCATTCTTTCCAGCAGTAGCAGCTGGAGGGAGTAAGGGAGAAAGCCACATGCAATAGGTGAACTTTCTAGCAAATCACCTTCGTCAAAAATGAAATGAATGGAAATAACTGCACCTTAGCAACGGTTTACTACCGAAAATAAAACAAAGAGAAAGAGAAAGGGTGGGGAGACCTGATAGACAATGGCCTACATCAGGGCTGGTTATCTCTCCTGGCAGAGTTTGCCCATGTGGATTGAGAATTCTGTACAGTCTATTAATCTGCACTGCTCTGGTTCCTTATGACTGAGTGCTGTAAGACTGACATAGCCATAGAATCCTATGTAGTTATTTGGTTCATGTGGGAGCCTCTAGGTGCTGCTGGGGATCATGCTATCTGACCACAGTATTCAGTCAAGGTTCTTACAGAGTCCATCAGTGACCACAGCTCTTGGCTTATTCTAGCAACATCCTACTTCATCCCCTGCATATTGTGCAGCATCTGTTCTTGAAGAGGCTTCTTTAGCTGCTCACAGAATCATAGGTCTGGAAAAAACCTCAAGAGGTCAGCTACCTGAGCTGAGGCAGGACCAAGTAAACCTAGACCCATCCCTGACAGGTGTTAGTCTAACCTGTTCTTCAAAACTTCCAGTGATGGGGATTCCACAGTCTCCCTTGGTAACCTATTCCAGTACTTAACTGTTATAGATAGAAAGTTTTCCTAATTTCCAACCTAAATTTCCCTTGCTGCATATTAAGTCAATTACTTCTTGTCCTACCTCCAGTGGACTTGGAGTAGAATTGATCACTGTCCTCTTTATAAACAGCCCGTAACATATTTGAAGAGGACTATCAGGTCCCCTCAGTCTTCTTTTCCCCAAGACTATATACATGCCCAGGTTTTTAACTTTTCCTCATAGATCAGGTTTTCTAAAACTTATCATTTTTGTTGCTCTCCTCTGGACTCTCTCCAATTTGTCCACATCTTTCTTAAAGTGTGGCACCCAAAACTGGACTCAGTGCTCCAGCTGAAGTTTCACCAGTGCTGAGCAGAGTGAAAACAATCATCTCCCGTGTCTTACATATGAGATTCCTAATAATACAAAAGGCTAATATTCTGGAATGTAACTGCATCACACTGTTGGCTCATATTCAATTTGTGATCCACCAGATCTTTTTCTGCAGCACTACTACCTAGCCAGTTAGTCCTCATTTTGTAGTTGTGGATTTGATTTTTTTCCTTCCAAAGTGTAGTACTTTGCACGTGTCTTCATTGAATTTCATCTTGTTGATTTCAGACCAATTCTCCAATTTATCAAGGCCCTTTTGAATTCTAATCCTGTTCTCCAAAGTGTTTGTGACCCCTCCCAGCTTGGTGTCAGCTGCAAATTTTATAAGCACTCTCCTGACTTCATTATCTAAGTCATTAATGAAAATATTGACTTGTACCAGCCAGACCCCTTTGGCACCCAATTGGATATGTCCTCCTAGTTTGACAGTGAATCATTGATAACTACTTTTTGAGTATGATTTTTCAACCAGTTGTGCATCCACTTCATAACAATTTAATTTAGACTGCATTTCTCTAATTTGCTCATGAGAATGTCATCTGGGATTGTATCAAAAGCCTTACTAAAAATCAAGAGATATCATGTCTGCTGCTACTCCCCACTCCCATATTAGACCAGTAACCCTGTCAAAGAAGAAAAGGAGGACTTGTGGCACCTTAGAGACTAACAAATGTCTTTGAGCATAAGCTTTCGTGAGCTACAGTTCACTTCATCGAAATTAGGTTGGTTTGGCATGATTTGCTTTTGACAAATCCGTGGTATGTTCCTTCCCCCAGCAGCTAGTGAAGTGTGGGGTCTTTTTGTGGTGGGATAGATACACTTCCAGGAGCAGGTTCCAGGCCAGATACAGGAGCATGAGCAGAATAGGTGTGCGTGTATGGTGGGGGTGAGCCACTGACTGAGAGTGTCCCACTCCAAACACACACTCTCCCAGTCAATCTCTACAAGGTGCACATGCAGGTTGACAACTTCTCCCAGAGCCCTCTCCAGCATGTATTCCCTGTTGCCAATGAGGATGGGGATTCTTAGAGGAGGCAGATGGCAGGCCCCATCAATAAAGAGTAGTGGTGTCAGGAAAGGGTCTCTGTGGGTCATAGAGTCTGGCTGACATGTCTGAGACCTGGAGAGAGAACATCCGGGGGGGAGGGGGGGGTTGACTGGAGCAATGGAAGGATCACTATCCCCAGGGTGCTACTTTCAAAGTTGCAGAGTGAGGTATGTAGGCAGACTGAGGAGATGGACTCCAGTTCCCAAGGATCAGGAGGGATGGCATGGGAGGGCATGGCATGGTCAGTGAGTGAGGAGAGTTGCTGTGAAGTCTAATGAGGAATCCATGGGCATGGGTGGAAGTAGCAGAGATGGGACAGATCCAGGTTTATGGGATCTCTGTGGGGTCTTGTTGGAGGAACCATAGCGACAACTTCAGCTGCTGACTCATGCAAGGTGGGGGTGAATGGTGTGGACACAGATGCTGGGTGTTAGAGGGGAGGTTGGACTGATGTGGGGGCTGTAGTCAATCAGGAACCCTCCAGCTTTGTGTTTAGAAAAACTGTGCCTTGTTAATACTGTCTGTGTGGCTCTCACACAGAGGTCATCTCCAGCCACGTTTCACATTTCCACAGCATCTGTGGTGAAGGGGTACGTGCTCAGTGCGAAGAGACATTTTCGGAGAGGAAAGCGTTTGGCTGAAATATGTTCCAAAAGGCACCTAGTGAATGGGAAGTGCAATGCATTGGAGAGGCAATGCACGGTAAACTGTGCTCAGGCCTAACACCAGGGCAGACGCAAGGCTCGATCTGAAAAAAAAGCCATCCACATTTGCAATGGATAAGATGCTCTGAGACAATGCGTTCCAGTGAACAGTCCAGGGCATAGCTCTGTGCAGAAATGTCAACCAGGGTTTAGCAAGATGGATGCTGAACTCCTCAGCTGCCTAGTCTTGCCAAAGGTCCTGCCCCAAGACAGCAGGAAGGACACGTCTGCCAAGGTCCAATGTTAAATGGAAAAGATGCTGAACTCTGATCCACCAGGTTGTTTGTGTGTGCAAGGACCCTTTATCTCTGAGAAGCCAACTTTGTAAGTAAGCAGAGTTCGCCTCACCTGACTGTCCGACACCCATTTCATTTGACATAACAGAGCATTAGGCTAAGAGCAAAGCCAGCTTGTGGTTCTGAATGACTGCAAAGTAAAACCAGCGCTTTATCTGACTGTATGTACAGTACTCTGAGGCCAATTAACTTGGAAAAGGATTACATGGAGCAACTTTTGATACATTCAGGAACAAACTGCTTAAAAATCTGGTTTTGGGATTACACAGGTTGAAAGATGCCAATATCTGGGAGTCTATAAATTCTCACTGGCTCAGTAAAACTGTGGGTGCGACTCAGTGCTAGTGATTTAGATGTTTTAAAGGAAGGTAGAGTTAAGGAAACCATCCCCTCTTATAACCAATTGAGGAGGGGGAAGCAAGTTTTACAGCTGCTGTTCTGGATACAACTCCTGCAGGGATTCCACTGAAAATGGACTCCTGGATGTAGGAAGGCACATTACCATGTAGGCAATGAGGCACACTTCTTTATTTCCCTGGGGAAACTTTTCTTATGGCAACTGGAACGTTGATTGTTCTACTTTTGGGTCTAGATTGTGCCTAGAACTGAGTGGGCACAAAACGATGCAAGACTATGTTCCTGCATGGCCTCCCTGGATCTTGAGTCTGGGTGTCAGGAGCAAGCGGGTGCGGTGATCCTGCTACTCCTCACCAGGAGCTGGCACATGAGGAACAGGGGCAGAGTGTTGGCCAGTGTGGTATGTTGAAAACTGTGTTCAGATTAGGAGCTATCATTTTAAACTCTCAGGGGTTTTCCTGGTCCGGCTTGCAGGCTAGCAGCTCTGTAGGGAAGGATGAGATCTGGGTCCTCAGCAGTCAGTCTGCAAAGAGCCAGCCTAGAGCAAGATGGGGTGAGTGGTACTGGTCTGCCTGAGGGAGCCGCCTGCTTTCTCTCTGTTTTTGGTTCTTGTTTGTTAAGATTCTGACTACTAAGAAATAAAGTAGTGTTATGCTGCAACTTCCCAGAAAGAGTACTTCTGTATCTACTCTTTGTATGCCATGAATGTAACAGCCAGGCCACTGGACTGGTGCAGGGAGAGGGTGTTATAGCAAATAGCTACCGGTGGCAAATAGCTATGCCCCTGGAGCAGGGAGGGAATTGCACCTTGCTAGTTGGATCCTGGGACAGTGCAGCTAAGCTCTTCTCAATTGACAGGGCTTGTGGCAAAGTCACAATCATAGTTCTGTTATTATTAATTTATTTGCATTGCCATAGTGCCTAGGAGCCCTAGTCATGGACCAGGACCCCATTGTGCTAGGCGCTGTACAGAAGAACAAAAACAGAGTTCAAGCCCCAGGTAGAAGACAGGAGGGGGAACACAATGAGACAATATTGGTCAGAACGATAGGCAGCGGTCTCAGTACACCAGCAGCCTAGCCCTTGTCAAGGTTTTTTTTGTAGGCAGCAGCAAAGTAGAGTTCTGAGGGGGAATTTGGGGGTGGATAATGAGACAAACATATGGATGTTCACAGGAAGCATGGAACAGACTGTGATACTCTTAGTCACATTCAATAATAGCTTACTCCATAAATAGTCCCATTGACTTCAGAGTAAGGTACTATTGTGTAAAGCATCGGGTAAGGTACTCAGGGTGTAAGAACTATCCAGAGTAAGGGTACCACCATTTAGCCCTGTGTAAGGGCCAGATGCTACCATCTTTCCTCGCATTGAGTAATACTCAGAGAAAAGTGAAGTATAGTCTCATTTTCTTCAATGGGACTATTGCTGGGGGAAGGTACCACTCAGGGTGAGTAGGTGAGGGGAGTCTGGCCCTTGGAGATCAGACTATGTAATGGCACATCTACCTAGAAAGGTTTCATAAATGCTCTCTGGACTGCAGGCAATGGCTATACCACTGTGAGTACAATTGCAAAGGACACACTGTATCACATGTTCAAACAACATAAGGTGGTGCACTGACCACCCGCAGCATCCTTCGGTGTCAGGGTCCTTATCTCCAGTGCCTCCTGCTGGCCATCTGCCTTTCACCAACTCTGCCCTGGCTCACCCCTCTGACCAAGTTACAAAGTTTAGTCCCCTGTTGGCATAACAAACTGTCCAGCTGAAAGGCCAAATCAAATGCCCAAACTAATAGTTCTGCCCCCTCAAGCACCACTGAAGTCCCTTGATTCTTGGCCTCTTCAGAGCTTCTCTTATCTGGCTTCTTTCCCAGTCAGCTTCCCCTACTGCCTCCCTTCCCCAGAGACCTGGCAGCACCCCTTAGGGCCTACAAAGATGAGGGAGATCCCTATCTTAGCCTATCCTGCTCCTGGGGGGTTTGCCTTTCTGCAGGAGAGTCCTGCCTTCTCTATAGTCTCTCCCCAGATGTTGCCCCCTTCCTAGGACCACTGCAGGGATCAATTCTGTCCCTGCAGCCTTCCTCAGTCTGCCTACCCCAGACCCTTTCCAAAGAGGGAGAGAACTCCTTACTTCCTCTTCTCCCTCTCAACTGAGCTCAGTTCTGTTTATGTAGTCCTCTGCCACTGGTCAGTCACTCTAATTCCCTTACACCTAACTGTGATTGCTAATTGACCCTATGTGGCTATATCAGGGGCAAGGCTGAGGGGTAATTGCTAGGTCTGAGCCCACCTTGTCTTTAAGATTTCACCCGCCTGTGACAAACAGAAAATGACAAAGCCAAAGCACTGTTTATCTTTTCCAGTGTTGACAATGCCTCCTGCAAGTTATTTCTTCATTGTAGGCCTGTCACTCGAAAGACAAACCTAGGATTCTTTGCATCACTTTTTACACAGGGTAACTGACACAAGCAGCAGTGGCTTGCACACAGCTTTGGGACATATTAAAGCCTTCCTGAAAAGTCGCTTTAAGTCCAATGCAAATTCTTCAGATCTGGCTTATTAATAAATATTAATATTTTTAGTTTCTATTGTACCTTCCATCTGAATATCTCAGAGGGTTCTTACCAATATTAATTGATGCCTCATAACAGCTCCATGAGTCAGTATTATCTGCAATTTACATATGGGAAAACTAAGGTACAAAGCAGTTAAGTGACAAATTCCAGGTTGCACAGGAAGGCTGTGATCCATCTGTTGTCTCTTGTCTTATACACTTAGATTGCAAGCTCTTTGGGGGCAGGAATCATATATTTGTTCTGTGTTTGTACAGTGCCTACCACAATTGGGGCCTGGTCCATGACTGATGCTCCTAGACACTACAACAAAAAAGAACAATAATTCACACATTATAAGTGACCTGTGACAGGGCACAACTCACCACTGTGGCACCTGCTGCTGGCAGTCCAGGGAATTAGAGCTGCGGTCTCTTCTGGTGGTGTCTCACATGCTGTCACCTCTGTTCCTGGACTCACATTGCTCCCAGGACCACAGCATCCTCTTCAGTGACACAGCCCTCCATCTGTGCCACACTCTGTTCCCCCCATTCTGGGAGGACTGCAGCCCACTGTCCAGCCATTGTTGTCAGTGGCTCCAGCACCCTCTTTGCCCTTGCCTCAGGGCCTCAATCTGCAGATCCCTGCAGCCCACCAGGAGCTGCCTTTAGCTCTCTAGGTCTCTGCCTGCAGCACTGCTGTGTCTAGGCTGCTTGCTGCTCTCCACCTGCACAACAGCCCATGCTCCTCCCTTCTCAAGCTCCAGGGAATGACTACCCCAGCTCTGTTCCGCAGCCCTTCTTATATGTGCCAGTCCGGCCCTGATTGGCTGCTCCTATAAGCCCTTCTGTGATTGGCTGCCTCCTGCACAGCCTCCCCCGTGCTGCTTTTAACCCCTTTTCTGCCAGTGTGTGGCAGATGCCCTATCACAGGACAATTGGGATAATCTAGTCTGACATCCTTTATAGCTCAGATTACAGGAGCTCTCTAAATTAATTCCTGTTTGGACTGGAGTGTATGTTTTAGAAAAACAGCCAATCTTGATTTAAAAACTGCCAGTGATGGAGAATCCACCAAAACCCTTGGTAAATTGTTCCAAAAGTTAACTAACTTCACTGTCAAAAATATGTGACTTATTTCTAGTCTGAAATTGTCTAGGTCAACTTCTAGCCATTGGATCTTGTATACCTTTGTCTGCTAGAAGGAAGAGCCCTCTATTATCAAATTTCTGTTCCCTACGTAGATAAGTATAGACTGTGATCAACTCACTCCATAACCTTCTTTTGTTAAACTAAGCAGATTGAATGCCTTGAGTCTTTCACTGTAAGGCATGTTTTAGAATCCTTTCATCATTCTTGTGGCTCTTCTCTGAACCTTCGCCATGAAACTGTCTTTTGTCTCTTCATTAAAGTCCTTATATTGCTTGAATTGCCAATACTGTTTCTTGTCCGGCTATCTAAATATGGTGCTGCTCTAAAGTTAATGGGGAAAAAATGCTGAAGGTTCTTGGCAGTGTGGTTGTATTTATTTATTTTCTTCCTCCCCATTTTTATTTTCTTGCCATAAAGAGATTTACATAATAAAATGGATATTTAAAGAGGCCAGGAGATTTTTTTTTTAAATAGGCAAATCACTGTTTAAAAATACCATTTTGGAAATAATCATTATTGAGCTTCAGTTTTCTCTGCTTTTTCCTCTCTCACAAACGTGAATAAATAAAGCTGTTCCTCACTTTTTGAGCTGTCAGGTGAAATTCATGCTGTGCAGTGAGCTAAAGAAAGCTCTGTGCACTGCACAAGTCCCATGTAAGCCCTATTTTGAGATGTTTAATAATGCATAGGCTATTTGCTTGCCCTGTGCACAGGGGTGAATTTCATCCTTAGTATCCTATTCAGCTTTAAATCCGCGAGCAGTATGTATTGCAGAACATATTACTGAGATTTAGTTCAGCATTTCTCTTTCATTGTGTGTTCCTGGGCAGTTTGTTTCCTTCTAGTCTTTTCTCTTGCTAGAGAAGCAGCAGTATTTAAGAAGCCCGTGAGTCCAAAGAAAGGGGTCACTGTCACTTCGGAAATAAACATGTGTTTGCAACAACTGGCAAACATGGAGTGCCTGCAGGACATGATCAGCTGGTGCATGAGAAATCACAGGCAGGAGTTTGACAGCAAACCCAAACAGTGTGATCATAATGAAATCCAGTAGACAGGGGCTTGGCGAAAGGGAAGCCGAACAACAGAGCATTTGAATATTACAATAAGATGCAGGGCAAAACATGTAGATTAGTAGAAGCCTGTCTGAATAATCTGGTGATGGCCAAAGGCATCATTTAAAAACGCTTTGTAAAATGTTGTTCTTTTCATTGTAGCGATGTATTACACTTTATCATTCATACTGTTCCACTCAGTTGTTATTGGTTTGTGCCCTCCAATGGGATTATAACTACTGGGAGAAATCCTGGGTCCTCACTTGTTTTTTGTAATCCTTACTCAGCCAAGTTGGCAGACTCAGGCTTGAGTAAGAACTGAGGCGATGTCTACACTACTGGCTAAATTGGTACTGCTGTGATCGATGCAGATTGATTTAGCAGGTCTGGTGAAGACATGCTAAGTTGATGGGAGAGTGCTCTTTCGTCAATGACTGTACTCCACCTCCCCGAGAAGCGGAAGCTATCTTGACGGGAGAGCATCTCCAGTTGACATAATGCAGTGTAGACACCACTGTAAATTGACCTACGTTATGCCGACTTCCGTTATGTAATTTACATAACGGAAGTAGCATAACTTAGATCGATTTACAGCATTAGTGTAGAGCAGCCCTGAGTGATGTCTTCAGGATTTGACCCATTATTATTCTAAAATATTTACATTTACCCAGTGCATAACAGAACATGGGCAAGATATGTTCCCTGCTCTGCAGAGAGTAACAGTCTAAATAAAAGCAGACAAGCAACCATAAAACAGGTCCAAGAATACAGCACAGGGAGAATCTTAGGGTTGTAAATGAGAGGTCAGATCTTGACACAAAGCTCAGTTGTGCAGCTGTCGAGCACCTTCTCCCCCCATGTAGCCTCACTGTAGTCACTGGGACAAGTGGCATCAACAATGTGAGCAAGGGGTTGTATAATCAGGCCATCAGTTTTAATTAACGCTATGTCTACACTACTGCAGTAAGTTGACCTACGCTACGCAACTCCAGCTACGTGAATAATGTAGCTGGAGTTGACGTACCTTAGGTCGAGTTACCACGGGGTCTACGCCGCGGGAGGTCAACCGAAGACTCCCATAGAGTTACCTTACTCTTCTCATCGGGGGTAGAGTACAGAGGTCAACTGGAGAGCGATCTGCTGTCGATTTGGTGGGTCTTCACTAGACCCACTAAATCGATCGCTGGTGGATCGATCTCAGAGTGTCGATCCTGGCTGTAGTGTAGACATAGCCTTTGGAAGGCAAACTCCTAGAGAAGTAAATCAATGGAAGTTCCCCTGAATGAAAATGGAGTAAGGACCTCAGCATTTGGCCCAGTGAGAAGGAAGGATGAGGAATTTCCTGAAGAGGTGGGATGACAGGAGGAGAGGGAAGGAGCTTGGCATATGAGGACCACGAGAATGGCAGAAAGAGGCAAAGGGGGTGGGGGAATAATGTGTGGGGATGGGAAGTAGGAACCAAGAAGGATGTGGGGCGAATGAGAGAAGAGAGGTATGTAGGGCCTTGTAGCCAAGGGAAAACAGCTTGACTGTTTTGCTGGAAGGAAGAATCAGTGGAGAGATTTAAAGGGAAGAAAAGCATCTTGCTTGGAGCATCATTTTTAGCAGCATATCCTTATCAAATCCCAGCATTGCTTATTATGGTGCAGCCAGTTCCGGATCTCAAGTATAGGACACGGTAATGGCTAAAGTGCTGTCTACATTTAAAAGCTTTACAAATAGTTCATAATAATAATAATTATGATACTGGAAACTGGCCAAGATGTCTCTTGTGGGCCTGATCCTGCAGTCACAGTGCAGACAAAACAGCCATTGGAGTCAGCGGCAGTACCAGCTGGGTTAGGACTACAGGATCAGGGCCTATGTAAGGGTCCAGTCCTGCTCCCATTGAAATCAAAGGGAAAATTCAGTAGACACAGAACTGGACCCTTAGTTTTTACAGCATTTGGTAAGTAAACCCTCCGATTGTTTCTCAGGAAAAGCTTGGTCTATCCTTTCTGTATTCTGTTACACAGGTTTCTCTTTTAATGGGGACAGGGATTCAAAATGGATTTCACAAAGGCTCCGTGGAGCTCACTGACTTGGCTTCTGCAGTAACAAAAACTTACCGTCTCGGTGCTGTGCTGCACGGCAGCCACCAGATGTGATGTGCAAACAATTAAACCTCCCCAGTAATACCGCTGGATTGCTGATTGTGTTTCCCACCACCTTCTCCGCTTCCGTTTTTATGATTGGGAAGTAGGCGAAAGCATAGTTTCCAGAAGTCCTTTTGCGGGAGGTTTTAAAAAGCCCTCCTGCCTGCACGTCTGTCTAGCTTGGTTTGTAGCGAATCTGCCTCTAGTACCTCATGTTTGGATGGGAATCCTCTAGACAACTTCCACTAAGGGACACTTTCAAAGACGGATAAACATACGCATCACATCAAACATTGTTTAGAAAACACACATAAAATCCTTGTTCAAAGAATGAAGTTTATCGGTTATTGTTTTTTTCTTTTACTCCAGCTAGCAGTGCATCCTAGCACAGACAGAGAGGAATATGTTGCATAGCTTGATACTACAGCAACAAAAGAAATGAATGTCTGTATTTAAAAAGATAGAGGTTGCTGAAATGTTATCATAGGTGCAAAGGAAAATTGGCAGGGCATCATTAAAAATAACTAGCAATAACACCATTATGACAAAACATAACCTAGATATGACAAATTTTAAAGTCCTTCTTCAGGCAAAACTCATTGATTTCAGCTAGTACTGATTTCTTGATTGTAATGGAAGTTTTGGAGTGAAGATTGAATATAAATTGAGAATCATTTCCATATTTCTGAATGATAGATCAATGGCCCCATCTATTATTATAGGCGGTGGAGATAGTGGTGCCTACAATTAAGGTTTCCCAACTCTTTCCATTATAAGACCCTGTTTTCAGTTGATTATAACTTTGACAGACATTTGCTTTGCCAACATTTCTCCATACTGGGAGTCTGCCTAAGGCTGATTTTGTTGGAGGGAGAAGTTTCACTAAAATGGCGCAGCCATTTCCAAGAATCAGCTTAGGGAAAAATAAGTTGTTTTGCCCATATTAAAAAAAACAACCCAACAACTTACTGCTGTTTTGTAGACAAACTGTAGCACCTCCAGGCTTTGGAGCAAGTATGTGAAATTTGGTGGATGGCAGATTTGCCCTGTTCTCAGGATGTGTATTTTACTGTTCCTGTAAAAAATTGCCCAAGTTATAAGCCTCTGAAAAATCTCAGTTCGCAGTTGCCCTGTAGAGTCTTGTTAGAGCTTTGCAGCTAAATTCTCCAAAGATTCCACCTGCATTGACCATCATCCAGCCTCTCCCAGGTCCTACATGTGCCATTCTCACAGAGCACTGAGCATGCTCCAACCCAGAGATACAGGGGCTGCATGCGAATTTCCCTGCAGTCGCTCTTGCTGGATGCCACCAGGGCTGCTGTGTTGCCAGGCACTGGAACTGAGAGGACAGTGACTGTCTCCTCTCTGCTCTCAGTGCCCGCACTTCAGGTGCCCAGTTAGCATGAAGGAGAAGGAGGAAC